GAATAACTCTCACCCTAAGGAAAAAATGATTGTGCAGAATTGTACTGCAGTAGAATAGATTTCTGTTGTGCAGCTCACATGTTCTGCAAGCTGAAAATGCTTCCCAGAGTGGGTTGCTGTGAGAATTCAGCTCAGAAGTTCAAGATAATATCAGTAGTTTGTATTCTCAGTTTGCACATTTGTGGGGTTTTGGCTGTTTGGGATCAGGCTTACATAGGAGCCTTTCTTAGAGTCTTGCTGCAATTCAAATCAGATGAAGTTGCTGCAGCACTAATGATTAAACCCAAGTATCATTTTCCTGTTAAAAATCATTACATTTTGTTTTCTGCTTACATTTCTGCTTTAGATACTTTGGCTGCAGTTTTTTTCATTTCTTCCCAGCCTGGAGGAAATTTATTTTCTTAGCCTGTGAGCTCGCATATTGCTGAAAATTAACTTAGGAGAAATGATTATGCTGGTGTTCTTTGCTTTTCATTCCCTCCCCCTCCTCTGCCAAGCGGGGGTTTTATTATCATTATTATTGTTATTTTAAATTCAGATTTAACACAGCTCAGTGTATGCCTGTGCTGCCTGATTGGGTTTTTTTGAGCTCAGTTTACATGGACTTGCTTGGGGATGAGAACCAGAATAGAAGCAGTCATTCAGAGCAAGATGCAGGCTGACAGGGAAGGTAATTGTCAGATGTGTGTGAGAATGTGTTCTGGCAGTTACACTTTTTAACTTCTGCCTCATGACAAAAGCTTCGCTGTGTCTCAAGGTCTTAAATGTTTGTATTGAGCAAAACAGAGGAACCTGGGGAGGCAGTTCAGATTAATTAGACACGTTAGAATTGTTTTCTCAGTGCTTAAAGTTGTTTCTTGAGAGATATTTATGTTAGAAATTCCTTCCCTGACAGGTACAAATAAACATTTATTGTAGGTGATGGTAAAGAGAGATGCCCCTGCAAGCTCTGGCATTTCATCTTGTACACAGAGCAAAGGCGTGGGGGTCCAGTGTGCTGATTGTAATCCCTAGGTCTGAAAAATGTTCCTTTTTGAAAAGCCTGGAATTCCTGTCTTCTTCTGGAGACTGCTCTTGGGGAATCTCCACGGTGCTGTAGGTGTGTTTGTTGTTCTGCAGATGCAGAAGCTGGAGTTGCTCAAGTGACCCAAGTTGGTGGGCCGTGGAGTGAAATGCTGTCTTTTGCCTGATTTCAAGGCATATCTTCTCTTAATGCCATTACTTACCAGTAAGCACTGTGGACTTTGGTCTGCTTGAGTGTAAGGTTCTGAAAAGCTCAGGCAGGTATCATCCTGCTTAAGACAGAGAGGATTGATCCCACACCTTGCTGTCAGTGCTGTCTGCCATAGCTCCAGTGTTGAGTTTGGCAGGTCTCAGTTGAATATACTGTCTTGTCATTTACCAAGAGCGAATTTTGTAGCTCCACTTTTTTGTGGTGGTAAAGAAATGAACAAACCCATGGAGATTTCTAACTTGATCTTATAGCTGCTGTCGCTACCACAAGGCTTTCATAGACCAATTCCTTTAAAAGCATCCAGGAGGCAGTTCCAGCCTAGATCCTGCAAGGGTCAGCTGCTTGTTCTAAGTGACAGAACTAAGTTTATTTGGAGCTTAGTTTGGACTTCTGTTTGATGGTTTTATTAGGACTTGGCCAAAAATTTCAGTTCTTCTTGTCCTGGTGCAGATTTTAGGGAGTGTGTCTTCAGAGCAGAATTAGTTCAGGAAGTATGTCCCCACTACATAGCCCTACTTGTGAGAGGCTTTAGCTAATGCTGTGATAGCCTAGCAAGTAGGCAAGTTTTTTTGTTTTTTTTTTTTTAATTTATATTATATTTTCAACTGGACTATGAGTCCATCAGAGCAAGTATCAGCACTAGAGTAACCACAGTGCATGCTTTGGTCTGCTTTATTTCAGCTCATGATAACAAGTTCATCACCAGCAATTAGTAAAACAACAGTGACTCTTGAGGTATTTTACTAATTGCTGCCTCTCAGACCTTTTGAAATAGGTTGGCAGACCCTTCTGGCAAAGAAAACCCAATTCCAATGTATAAAAGAGGAGAGGAAAAAAAGCAACACGAGAATTTTTCACTCCTTGCCTTACTGAAGGATTCACATTATGTAGCATTACACTCTGTTGTTTATATAATCTGCTTTGTTTTCATTTGGGGATGTTCAAAGGGGACTTCAGTGTTGTAGTGAGATGTGCATGAACAGCTGACTGGGAGTTCAAAAGCATTTGTGTCAATTGAAAGTTGGTTTATTTTCCACGTGCCAAGAATCATTTTGTTTTATTTAGATGAAACTAGATTATGGCATTGAAAACCCAACTGTATTAACATTCTTAAATAAAGCAAGTTGGGAAGTGATGTTACAGTTCAACTAATTGTTAATTATACAAATATTCTCACTGCATATTTTCTTAAGACTTTGGGAATGTTTTGTGATGCAGTAGATTTGGAGAGTTTTTATTCTGAGGGGAAAATAAGTAGTAAATGAGTTAGGAATGAAGATACTAAATAAGGCATTTTCTTCACTTGGAGGCATGCTTAAAATTGATTAAATATTTGCTTTCAAGCATTTAATCTTCATCTTTGAGGCATGAACATGCTACCTCTGTCTTTCTCCTTTGGGCTTGTTGTAAAACTCTATTCAGGCCTTTGTGGTGCCTTACAGAATGGGTAATGCTATGGAGGATCAGCCTCCCTCTTTTGTTCAAGTCCTGCTTTTGTCCTGTTGTTCACTTGACATAGCCAGAAAGAAGGGCTAATGGTTGCTGAATAGTAGCTTGGGATGAATTTGAGGATTGAGCTTTTCAAACCCTGAGCTTGCAACTGTCATTGCTGATAATAATCTACTCCTTCTGTGCTGTTAAAAACCAAAACAAAATAAGAAAAAAAAAATCCCTGTTCTGCACATCTGGAAAGAAAAGGAATTCTGTTGGGTTAATTATTGAAAACAAAACATGTAGATTGTTTTGTAAGAAATATGGGATGTTTCCTTTTAAGTATTTCAGATTCAACTCTCCTAAATTTCACTGTTCAAATATTGATTTATCAAGGATCTGGAATTAAAAAAGAAAGAACTTGGTGATTTTTGTGATTTTTTTTTTAACTATTCTCTACTCTGCAAAGGCAAACATGTCCAACTGCAATACAGTTAAAAAGGAGGAAAACAATAATTACCCTCTCCTTGCATCCCAGAACAGACTACCTGTGTTTGCACTAACATAACAATGCAGATAAATCTCGTGAAAATTTTAAGGTCTGCCTAGGGACCTGCCTTATCTGTAGCTCTTTAATTCCAGGTAATTGATTGCCCCTTCTGAGATGATTTTAGGTTTACTGGGTGTAGCACTTGAAGAAAATTGCTGCAAGAGTGGTGAGTGGTTAGGAGGCACTACCCTTGGGAAAAGGGGAATTGTTGGATGGGATAAGCTATTAATGAGAGCATCTGCGAAGGCACAAAAGCAAACCCTAAACTGAAACCCAGTGCAAACATCTTGAGGAACAGGTGTAGAGTTTCTCTTTATTTGAGCTGGACCCTGGGAAATTCCGTTTGGGAAGAAAAGTGTTAAGACTTGCTATCCTATTTTTGTGAGGGCAGTGTTTGATAAAGAGCTTCAGAAGTCACATGTAGCATTTCTGCTTCGATTACCTATTAAAAACACATACCTTGTTTGGCAGGCATTTTGCACTCAGATAACTTCTGATGGGGTGATAGGACATATTTTATTTACAGTAATGGACTCGCATTCTTCATTTCTCTTTCCTCCTGAAATTAAATTCTATATGCTGCTCTATCCCAAATCTTGATTCCCACAGGCTTCAGCTTAAACATGCAGTGGTATCACATTCCTAGATGCATGGCAGAGAAGAGGTGTGGACAGATGTCTACAGTGATCATACATTTACTGCAGGTTCTGCATCCAGGAGGCAGATCTTGTCTGCAGAGCATGCTGAGATCCCTTCTTTGGAGCAGGGGAGTGGGCAAAGCCTCCCTGGGGTGCCAGTGTTAAATTTGTTAAATTTGTTTTCAAAGACCTTGCAGAATTAAATTAGTGTTTTCAGTGCCCCTAATTCCACTTTGGTAGGACAGTTTTTTGCTTGCCTGCTGAACACTGAGCCATGTTATTCCTCAGAAGTGTTTCGCTGCTAAGGCATAAACACTGAAATAAATCCTTGCTCAGTACATCGAGCAGCTCTGGGTATTTTCCTCCGGAAAGGATGCAAGCACAGCTTCCAGCTGTTGTGTGGAGGTGTTGCCACAGGATGGGGCTGTTGCACTGCCAAACGGGATCTGTCACCTCCGGGAGCCGCGACCAGCGCTGCTTCCAGCGCTAACCTGAAACTCTGCTGCCAGCCCTTCTCTTTATTGTTCACCAGCCCATGCAGCGGGCCTCGAATTTATCCACTTCCAAGAGCTAGGAAATTTGGAGTAAGGTGTTGTTGGCTTGCTAAGAGTATATCAACTTTGTTTCTTTTAGAGGCAGCTTTGTACCATATGACAAGCTCAGGTAGTGAGGTAATAATTCACATAAAGGGGATTTGGTTCACGTATCACCGAATATGTTAAATATTAAATTTGGGGGGGGGGGTTAAGCCTTTATTAAATCCATATTTGTGTTTTAGAAATGTGCCAAGAAGTGTTCTAATGAAGCAGCACCTGGGGGTTAATAAATGATATCATGAATCCATTCTGATTGCCAAGAAAGATTTTAATAAAGGAAGCCATGCCCAGGGTTGACTGTTTCATCCGTGAGGAATAATTGTTTTGTTTCCATATTTCTTTTATTGGTTGGTTAAAACAAGTTTGCATTTTAGCATCAAGTCATTTTTGGTTGTTCTGCATGTTTCTGTACCATTTGCACAAAGACCTGACCCCCAGTCTGCTGATTGTAGGAGGTGTTATTTTGATTGCATGGAGAGCTTGCATCTTTTACTGCCTTTCGCATTTATCTCGTTCCTCTGTTCTTTCTTCTCTTCCCCTCAACCATTCAGGGTGAAGTGAAGTCTGAAGAGGGGCCAGAATGGAATATACTGCGTGATGACTTCATGATGGGAGCATCTATGAAGGACTGGGACAAGGAAAGCGATGGAGAGGGCAACAGTGAAGAAGGAGGTGGTCTGAAACAAGAAGATGACAGTGACTGAATGAAAATCATTCAAGATAATGTTTTATCTTCTTAAGTTTGTTTGGATAAAAAGTCAGCATTCTATGAATGTACAACACTTGGAGGATACCTCTTTTAAAAGGAAAAAAAAAAAAAGACTTACACAACCTTGGAGTGTTTTCTCCTCCATGTCAAACTTTTATTTAATATAGCTCCGTTTGCTATACTGAAATCCTGAAATATTTTCCAAAACAAGTATAATTTTCAACATATTTCCAAAACATTTTGTACAGTCAAAATAGTGGCACTTGCCCAATGAAAGATAGATTTTGCCAAGGTCATTAAAAGTTTACACATTAGTCATGGCAATTGATGTATTAGTGTGCCTGCATTTCCAAATCACTGCTGCACTTTGAAAAGTTGTTGCAATTTGCAATAGAAATGGCTTACAATAAACACAGAAATGCCGTCACCTTGTAAAGTTATTGGGCTCCTATAGAGTCTTTACTACTTTGGCCAGAAAAGGTTCTGTAGATAATAAAGGAAAGTAACCATTCATGTGATAGTTCTGGTCTAGGAGCATTAGTTTGATTGGAGACAACTCTGGAAACAGAACTGTACAGACAGAGACTTGACCCTACTGATAGGGTTTAGTATTTATATATGTATATATATGGTTTTTCCATTGTGAGTCTGAGATTGTATAGGCTAAGAGTCTGGTAGGAAAGAGCAGTCATTGCTATTTCACTGGGGAGAGAGAGCTTTTCTAACAATACCACAGAAAATGGTGTTCAGTGTTGCTTCATTTAGAGTTATGGTGTTCTGGCCTTTTTCAATGAGGAGCCAGAGCTCTGAGATTGATCCTGTGGGTTTAGTCAGCTCTAATGCTAATTCCTCAGGTGTGCAAAGGGTCAAACCAAAGCCCTTCCTCTTCGTGTGGGCCATAACAGTAACAAATTTGGAAGTCATCTGTCAGGATAACACAATTGCCTTTTTTTAAGCTACAGCAATTTCTCCTCAGTAGTTGTTGGTTGCAGAGGTGCAGAAGCTAACACACATAAGAATATATTTTATGTAAGCATATGCAGAAGGAATTGTGTGGTGATAAGGGTGTTCTAAATGAGAGGCTGGGGTTGAATTCTGCCGCCTTTGCTGTTCCAGACTGACTGTCTGATGCTGTGTCATTTGTTTAGCTTTGCTATCACATTTCCCCATTTGCTATATGAAGAAAAAGCCTTGGGGCCCATTAATTGATAGTTAAAATGCATAGCACTGTTCTGTCCATTTCAACAGATGCCTTACAGACAAACCTTTCTTTGTACCTGCTTATAGGCAAGATATGATTCGGAGCCACTTTGAAATTTTCAGTCTTCAGCATGGAAATGTGCAATAGGATTTAGATTTTTCTAACAAAGGCATTGTTTGAACTTTGTGTGTACTGCAGGATAAAAACTGTGGGTACAAAATGGCAGAGAACCCCATCCCAACAACTGGCAATCATTGTCTTATCCCTAGCCTATTCATCTGGTATATATTGTAGCATAATTCTTCCAGGAGAACTCCAAGCTAACAGCAGAAATGTTTAGATTTTCAAGCTGTTTTGAGTGTTAAACATATTAGATATCTGAGGAGACATTAGTTTGTGGCCTGGTATTTATTATCACAAATGAAGGCATACACCCAAAACACCAAGTGGCAAAACCACCCAAGTTTGACATATGGTTATCCCAGCTTCTGAAGGCTCCACATCTGTACAGCTGTGCAGTGAGAGGCACCATCTCATGAGTGCAGTGCAGAAACTGCTGCAATGGGGCTTGAGTCCATGAAGCAGCATAACAGTCTAACCTGACACTGCTCTCTCTCTCTACAGAGTTCAGCTGCTTTCTGTGGAAAAATTACATCAGCAGCCTTAAATCTACAGTTGCTCTCTAGTTTCATATCAGCAGTTTCTTTCCATAATCAAACTTCTGGAAAATAAGTTTTCCTTAGGAACTGTGACATCCTGAGGTGATTATTAAAAATTTCAGAATGCTTTCCAAATACTTTTAGAATGCTTGGGGTGTTTATTTGTGTATTTTTGGAGTAATGTTTTGATTAAAGCACTGAAGTGAATCTTGTGTGTTTAAGAAAAATGTAGAATCTATCAATATTGCCAAAAGTATTTTGAGCTTCCATTTCATTTAGAGTGCATAGCCTATAAGGGGAGAGCGTTTCTTGCCTTTTAAGAAGCATAGTAATTACATTTTTATATATATTGAGTAGGTTTTTAAATTTCATACTGTACCTTGTCTTTGCCTTGTCCTTTTTTTGTGCCTTATGCCAAGAAGCTCCGAGAGTTGCTAAAATTGCTAACTACATATTTTGATTTTAGACTGCTTTATTTCACAAGTTCTGTTTTTTTTGACCAGAAGTTCAAAATATCTTCTTTGGCCCAGGCACCTTCCAGTCTCTTCTCTAGGTTGCCCTACCCCCTTTTTCAGTAATGTTCTTCCTCTTCAACAGCTACCAAGAACAACCTTCAGCAGCTTTTCCCAGCAGTCAGAGTGCTCACTCTGTTTTTTCTGCTCCCATGAATATCTCTGCTCAAGCAAAGTTGTGCTGCTGCCCTTCATTCCAGAGAGCATGAATCATCTCAACTTTGTATATTTCTGTACCTATCTATATAAAGCCAATAAGGATGGGGTGGTTCCAGTTTTGTTAGGCTTCAAGCCAGCTCCAGAGTATGTAAAGTTTAATATTCTATGGATTGCACGCAAAGCAGGAGTTTTGTTTAATAAGAGAAGGCACAGGGTCAGCTCTTCCCCATGTCTCTTGTCCCCTGGTCTAATTTCTCTTCACATTAATTGTGCTAACATTTTTTCAGCAAGGAAAGCATGAGTTGGCCTATGGAAAAAAATAACTGTCTTGCCCCTGCTTTTCTTCAGCCTCCTGTTAGGGAAACACTTTGGGATTGGTGATGGAATATTCTTTTTGTGCCTGATGCCACTGTACCACAGCATCATCTCTGCTGAAACCTGGAGGGTAGAGCTGCCACTTCTGCAGCTGTGAAGCAGATCATCCTGGGCTCACAAGCTGAGCAGGACAAAAGAGTTGGAAGCTGCTTCCTAGTGAAGATAGGGCTTTTTTGTCTGATTTGTTTTAAAGAGAGAAATTAAATGTTTGGAGGCCATAAAAGTTTTTTGACTATCTGATGGTTCCAGAAGAAGGTGGTCTGTAGAGCTGCATCTGTTCAGAGCTGGCTCAGTAGCTGTCTCCAGGGAGGAAGGCAGAAGTCATCTGGCACAAAACACTCTGCACAACTGAAAATGACAAGCTTCTCATTCTTATGAAATGAGTCCTGGCACAGTTAATATACACACAGAGCAGTCATCAGTGTTGTTCACTTCCAATCCCTGCAAATTGCTCAATGATTTCTTCAAGACTTGCTGAGGTAAGGAGTGAGAGGGCCAGGAGAAGGCTTGAGGTAGTGGAGGCTCAGGATCATGTTACACAGATTGGGTCCTTGTGCTAAATAAGTTGTTAAACTCGGGAGTCTAAGACCTTAGGCACTGGAGACTGAAGGAGGTCTTGATTAACAGATGGTGGAAGACTGTACATTTCATTTACTGCTGTTCTAAAGCAGTGGCTTCCAACCTCTTGCAGCGTGTAAACCTCCAGTGTTTCACCTCTGTAAGTGATCTACTAGCAGATAAGGGCTTTTTCTTAACCATTCTTCTTCAGACTTTTAACAATGGCTGATCCTTCTTAGACAAAGCACTTGTTTTCAAATGCATCTTTTTCAATTGCTGTTCTGTCTTAAGGGACATGTTAAAAATGAAACTCCAGTCAAACTGAATACCTTCAGCACGAAAGGTCGTGTGTAATACTCCATCCCTTGAAATTACTTCCTTTTGCTTGAATCCATGTGTTTAACCTGTTGGATACAAATTTGATAAATTAATTAGGGTTCTGTAGTCAAGCTTTTGGATGTGAACTCATGAGCACAAGCAGTTTCCAAGAGGCACTTTGGAGGGTTATTTTAGGAATACTCATAAAAAGCATTATTTCTTCCCAATGCCACAGTTGGTTCAATAGCCCATTCTCTCATGCCAGTGCATGAACTTTTGGAGCATAATTTTACAACATTTTCCTTGTGTTTCTTCACTGTTTTCAGTAAATATGGTGGTGTTCATTGTGAACTGCTAACCAGGATCAGACTTGCATTGAGGTTTTCATACCACTAGGATTTCTTACTTAGATAGTGTTCTCAGAAGCAGCTGAATAAATTATTAGAAACAGTTCACCTACAAGATAAGCTAGTTACATTTCTTATCAGAAACTTCATGCCATAATTAAGAAATGGTTAAAAATAAAACCTGCTGATGTTATGTTAGTAGTTCTTTAAGTCATGTGTTGTAGGCATGTATGATCATAAGTAGAAGGTAACAGGGGGTTGTTTGCCATAATTTAAAAATCTGAAGTACATAAAGATTTAACTAGGCACTTATGAGCCCATTATAAAGTGCATTAGGAATATAATCGTGGAGATTGTGACTTAAGGCTCATAGCTATTCAATCACTCACTTTGAACTTTGCTTTTCTATCCTGATAAAGGAGGACATTCTAATCTTGTTCAGAACAGAAAAGCTTAAAAGTGTTGCTTGATTCAAGCAACAAGATAGTGACAGGCTTTCCTGATTATGTGGATTTTGCATTGACTTGTGGTTGAGTACAGTTTATCTCAAGAGGATTTTCTTTGGTTTTTAAGTGATCCATAAATTGCAAGTTTTGTGGGCAGTGAAGCAGCCTTTAACTTAGGGTAGCCTATGTCCAGGGACAAGAGCTGGCCTGTGTCCATTTCAGAAAGGGTGCCTGAGGTCAGGCAGCTGAATGAAAACTGTCACTGGAGAGCTGAGCCCCTGAGCTGTTGGGAATTGAGCCTTTGCCATACCTGCCCATGGCTCCTTCCCAGCCACACCTCGCAGGGCTGCTTGGAGGAGAAGGGCAGTCAAACACACATTGTCAGTCTGCACACAGGCTACTCTGCACCCCCACTTACAACCCCAACGAGTTTCACAAGAGTTCACTTTGCACAGCAGTGCAATATTGCTGCAACGGTGTAGTTTTGTACAAGAGGTAACAACAGTGTGGTTTTGTATGTGGTGGATTTTTTCAAGGAGTGAAGTATTTGACAGTACCTACTGAAATTTGGTATATCCTTATGATTATCCTTAATTAAGAAAAGACTTCATAAAATTCTGAATTGTCTCTTCATGATTAATAGAAAAAGATCGGCGATTTTTCAGAACTTCAGACAAGATCCTCAATTTAAGGATGCATTACTCAGCCAAAACAATGAATTAGACCCAAGTATAAATATACTTCCAGTGTGAACATTGACCAAATTGGGAGGATTATATATTGATACTCCTTCTTGTGGATTGTGTTAGAAAGGTTCTGGTCAGGCCTTGCAAGATGCTGAACATCTTTCTGATGTTGTAGCACTGCAACCAGCAGGATTGCCAGTGCCACTGCTGTTCTCTCCAGCTGCTATGTTTTGCCTTTTTTTTTTTTTAACTGCTGGACTTATTTTAAATTTTAGTGTCATTTCCTAGAATTAAAGAAGTGGAACATATCTTATGTGAAGAAGA